AAACACAAGTGTTACTTCAGTATACGACCTTAATTTGTTTCTCAATTTTGACAAAGATGGCCACATTTGTGTTTGTGTGGGAAAGATGGCTGTGGCCATATTTGGTATCCTATGTGGTTTGCAAACAAAAACAAAATTTTGCCAAATGATTCTGTTTGCAAGTAGAATTGCTTGCAAATAAAAGCATTTGTGAATGGAACTACGATTGTATTCCTAAAGATTACTTGTAAAGGGGCTGGGGATTTAGCTCAGCGGCATAAGCACCTGCCTTGCAAGCAGGCAGTCGTAAGTTCGATCCCTGGTACCGGTAAAAACGAAAAAGACAAAAAAAAAAAAAAAAAAAGATTACTTGCAAATATTCTGGGTGGGCCTTCTTTCTTTTGATATTTCACCAAATTATATGTTTTTTTGAAAAGAATCTGTCCTAGGACAGTAGCCATGCATACAAAGAGCATTTAGATTGCAGAAATTACAGAAAGCCACAACTAGGAAACAAGTAATTTGAACATGTGGATATGTCTTACTTCCTATGTTCAATTTGAAATGCAGATTGCTTAGTTTCCGGAGCTCAATCAAGCATTTTGCATCACCATTTCTTTGGCATATATCTGTTCTATATTATTCTCAAACTATAAATGTAATATCAGTTTCTTGAAAAGTCTCTTAGAATATTACATTGGTGAAAAACTGTAAATGCTTCATTGCTAATCTCATTTCTGACATAATCATTGACAGCAGCTTCATGTAAATGTGCATACATGCATAATGATATACAAAGTTATCAGACACTCATGTTCTTTTCAAATTTTGATCCTAGAGAAAAAAATTCCTGTAATTTCAGTACTCTGGGAGGCTGAGGCATGAAGATCACAAATTTGAGCCCAGTTTATGAGATCCTGTCTCAAAACAAATAAATATGGTGGGCTGGGAATATAGCACCATGAAAAGGGTCTGAGTTCAAAACAAAACAGACACAGACACACACACACACACACACACACACACACACACACACACACACACCCAAAAAACCCCAGAACAATAGAAAACAGAAAGTTTTATTTTAAATTCTGATTTCCTCCCAAATGCCTACTCAGGTGAATTCCTAAGAAAGTACAGCACAGACAGTTTGTATCTAGAGGAAATCAAAGTCCTTGAGGCTTGGGAATAGAAATCATGCTATAGTAATCAGAGTCCTTTTCTCTTTGATACTTAGGTTTGCTCTCTAACGAGACTAGGGACAAGATTAAAACTTTGAACTTTTTTCTAGACCTGAGAAATCAGTCGTAACTCCATTGTAGCTTTTGCCTTTCCTGAATGGGGAGAATTTTTCATCTCCCCTCCCTGCTCCAGTTGGCATTCCCATTCTGAAGTCTGAATCTTTTCAGCCAGCTGAAGTTGAATCAGGCTCTAGAATTTGGTGCACCTTTCACACACGGGTACACTGGGTGCTCCTGAATCTCTAGTCAGGGGCGTATAGCTAAGACTTCAAGTGTTCTAAAACCGCTTATATTGAGATATTTGCTAACAGATCAAGATTCCAAATTGAGCATAGACAAGACCGGATAGCAAGTTCTTGCTTAAGTATCTCCTGGCAGCTCTTGTTGCAACCCGTGTTCCTTGCACTCCAGATTCTAAACCAAATGAGCACCAGTGTCCAGATATCTCTTAGAGCCTTAAGAGAGGACTGGGAGCCCCCCATGGAGTCCAAGCGGGTTCTATTTTGCTACTAGAGGGACTGTCCTCCAACAGCTAGGCCTCATGGGAAAAGGGCTGTAATGGCGCCAGGTACGATAAAAGTCTTTCCACGCGATGGCAGTAGAGCTCCTTGTTTGGGCACAAATGCTGTACGCTGCTGCTTTTCTCCCGCCCTTCGCGCCTGAAAAAAATGCTGCCCAGAGACAAAGATGCCAAAAAATGAGGCTGCCTTGCATTTTGTCCAGTTCGTTGAAACAATTCATGCCACTGTAATTTTATACCCCTTTCTTCTTTTTTCTTCTGCTTTCCTCTTCCTCCTCCTCCTTCTTGGTCTTCTTTTGTAGAAACAGGAATTTGAAATGTTTTATGGTAGTACTTTTCTTCCTTATCAGCACATAGCTATTTGGTGAATCTTTGCCAAGTGTTCTTTAATTTGAGAGAATGTCATCAGCCTTACATGTGACACACACACACTATAAAGTCACAGAAAATGGTTGACGAATACTTGATGGCATGCTTCTGATAGGGTGTCCAGGACATTCCAGCATACATGTGGCATGTATACAACATCAGTCAATTCAAATATTACCTCTTGTCAGAGAGGTAGGCACACTCAGGAATGTCACAGGAGCCAGTTCCCTTCTCCAGCAGCTGAGTGCCTGGAACATGACAGCCCAGGAGAGGCCATATCTGAACAAGATGTTGAAGCACTGGAAGGTCACAGTGGATCATTAGACCAACACTCCTTCTTTAGAATACAGAATACAGAAGTAGAAGCAAGTAGAGAGGGATGTCTAAAGGAGAAGGATACTCACAAAAGTTTAGGTCAACACAGCCAAAGACAAAAATCACATGATCATCTCAATAAATTCAGAAAAAGGATTTGACAAAGTCCAACACCCATTCATGATAAAAACCCTAAAAAAAAAAATTGAATACATGCTCTTGATCTCAATCTGATAAACGTTAGCTATGACACAGGAATAGCTAACATCATAAAATGATCAAAAACTGAAAGCTTTCACTTTAAAATCAGGAATGAAACAAGGATGTCCACTATGGTTTTAGGTAACTAAGTTAGATAGAAATCTTATAGGCAGCCAGCCAAGGCTGGGCCCTCAAAGGAGCCAGTGCAGAAGATGACATACTTTGCAACTGTAGGGGAGACAGATACTTCTGCTGTGGGCCAGACCCCAAGACAAAAAATAAAACAAATGTGCCCACATGCTTCCTAAGGATAAAGATCAGAGATTGGTATTCTAAATAGGTATCCATCACTTTGAGGAAGCCAGATGGAGCCACTAGCCAACCCCCTACAGGAAAAGCCCCCATTCAGTATTCATGCCTGCTTGCTATGTGAGCAGCTTCCCCATTTGATTCCTATTAAATCAATTTTACCTGAGCAGTTATTCTCATGATCTTATTAGTTGACCATAGTTCTGTCCCACTTCAGGCCCATCTTGTGATTTCCCATTTTGACCCACGTTAGGCCCGCCTCACCTTGTGGTTTTGCTCTATAAAATTCCTAGAAAATGCAAGGTCTTTGGCAACCCACTCAGGACCTCTTCTGTCTCTCTTGAACAGAAGCATTCTTTTTCTTAATAAATACATTCTGCTGTTAACTTCCGCTGTTTCTAAAAATCATTCTTTGATTTTAGAGAACATGAACTTGTACCGGACATCTAGTAGGCTGGAAGATTTCCCCCCTGTATTACTATCACCAATCCTACTCAGTATAGTTCTGAAAACACTAGGCAGAGTAATTAAACAAAATAAAAAAAGGAAATAAAGATAGGAAAAGAAGTTAAATAATCATTATTTGCAGATGACATAATACCCTACATAGGAGATTCTAAAAATACCAACAGACTTCTTCATAGTCTTAGGAAAGCTCAGCAGCCTTCCATTCACCCATGCCTCACTGTGGAGACCTCCATGTATGGAAGACTCGGGACACAGAGTTAGTTGGAGGGAAACATTTACTCTTAAGCTGAAGCTGGGGTATTTGTATCACAAATACCTGCCTTTGGGGGCTCAGGGTTTTGTGGGAGAACAGGGCCCACAGTGAGACAATGGGCAGGAAAGGATAGTGCTGGGCATTTCTCTAGAGTGTGTGCCTCTCTACCTCTGTCTCCCATTTTTCCATAGATAATCAAAAGGAACTCCACCTCCTGGGGCCTTTATTTACATTTTGTTTTCACACAAATACACTCTTTTCTTTAAGTAAATTGGGATAAGCTTAGCAGAGGAGGGGGCATTATTGAGATCTCTTTCTCAAATTAGGTGACCAAGCAGAAGAGATGTGTCCTTAAAAGATTAGGGAAAGGGTTAGGAACAGGAAGCAAAAGCCAGTCTGCTAATAAACACCGGAGAAACCAGAAGTGGCTAAAATATTTACGTTTATTGACTATCCATAAGTTTTTAGCTATATTAATATTAGTTTCACATAATGATCACATTTATGATAGGGAATTTGTGCCTGTACATGATATATCATGATTCTTCTTTCATGTTCCCATTTCCCTCCTGTCCTTGTTTACAAAAGCCTGGTTTCCATTTTTTTCTTGTTTTCTTTTCCCTTCCTTCCTCCACCCTTCCCTGGTTCACCTTTGCATTTGAATATTTTTTTCCCCAGTTCACAGTATCTATTATATGTTTTGGTCCTTATTTGTACTTTTGATTTCTCACACCACAGAAATAATGTAGTATTTACAAAAATGTGTCTGATTCATTTCATTTAAGAGTATGTGGTTCCAAGGTGCACTCATTTACCTAGAAATAGCTCAAATTTATCCTTCCTTCCTTCAGGCTAAGTATATAAGAAAATTCATTTTTTATACATTAATTGATTGGTGGACATTATTTAAAAGATTTAACTATTACAAACTGTGTTGCTATAAACATGGGTGGGCAAATATAGCTGTAAGATGCTGTTTTTAATTCTTCCAGAAAGATATCAAGAAGGGAAATATGGAACCTCTAGTCCTATTTTTTTGAGGAATCTCCACACTGATTGCACCAGTTTGCACTCTCACCAGCAGTGGAGAAGGGTTCTTATTTCCCCACAGCCCCGATGGCATTTGTTATTGGTTGATTTCTTAATACCATTCTTTCTGGAATGAGATGGAATCTCAGCACTATTTTAAATTGCATCTATGAATGACCAGTGATGTTGAACATTTTTCCATATATTTATCATTTCTACTTCTGGAAAGTGAGGCAGGATAGTGATTTGAATGTTTTCTAGTGGCTAGATTTCTTTGCCAAACTATTAAATGTAAACATTTTCTTTTCTTTTCTAGGTATGGAAGACGGAGATTGGCCCCAATTCAAGACAATTTGATACAAAGAGGAAACACTTGACATAGAATGCTGCATGAAGAAGGTCATGTGGAAATTCAATTCTTCAGAAGCTGCCTTATGAGGGTTGGTAGTTTAGATCTTTTTTCCCCCTATTCTTTCTTTCCTTCCTTCCTTCCTTCCATTCCTTCTCGGCCCTTTTTCCAGTGTTAGGGATGAAGCAAAAGACTTGCACATTAGAACTGACATTGATATTATATAGAAACCAAATAAATTGAAGATTATAAGACTAGGAAGTATCCTCAATCCATCCAAGTGAGAGTAGCCACACTCCCAGCTATCTTCATCTCTTTTTGCAGTTTTTTTTCCAAACTCCCTGAGAGGAAGATGGGGCATTACTGCAGTTGGAGGCAGTACTAAGGCAATCCTTCCATCCTGAGGAAATGGTTTTACAAAATCCTGAGCCATGAGAAATTCCTTCGCAGAAAGATCTAGCAGTTGAAGAAGGCAGGGCTATCTGAGAGCTCGGATAGCCTGCAAACCTTCTCTGAGTCAAGCCAGGAACCAGGAGCAAATGAAGACTGATTGGGTGAGTATGCAGCTGCCACCTGGAAGCAGCACAGCCCTGCTGATCTTAGGATCCTGCAATGAGGAAGCCAACTCGTGACAGCTAAGGGGCATCCTGTAAGGGCCTGAAAACTCGCCACAAGGGATAGAGATAGGAAATAAGTGTCATCAAGAGCCTGCATTTGTTCACTAGTGGATCCCTCTGTCCAGCCCACACTTACAGGAAACATGGCTCCTCCCTGCAACTTTCTCCTACAACTTCCTGTGATGGCGGCTCCTGGAAGCTGCTGGCCCGTTTCTGGCCCCTCTACATCCAGGTTCTACGATAAGTGTTAATGGCCGGGTCTTCAGAGAAGGCAAAGAGGTCTAGCCTGGAGTTCAAGACGCTTCCATCTAGCTATAGGCAATATGTTCTCCATAGCTAAGATTCATGGGAAAGGAACTATCATGGCGCCCATAATACTGAAACTCTGTCCACACGATGGCAGTAGTAGTGCTCCACGAAGGGTCACACGGATTGCCCGCCAGTGCTGTTCTCCCGCCCTTCCTGTCTGAAAAAAATGGCACCAGAAATGTGGCTACCCTTGAGTTTTACCCAGCCTGCTGGAACTTGCTCACTGGAGTGCCACTTACTTTTGGTTTCTGTCTGAAATCAAACTGAAGTCTAAATTTCACCCTTTATTGCTTATACCAATGCTCTTCACTTAAATTTACACCTCAAATATTATTTTCAGGTTATTAAGTTGTATGTTTTGGGAATGCATTTCAAGGACTGAGGCCAAAAATTAAGAAGACAATTCTCAATAATTAAGAGCAGGAGTATGGCATTTCTAGGCATCAAGCTACACATTACTTGGCTTATTATTCTTAATGACAAAATTATTCTGAGACTGGTTAAAATGGTAAAAAAAAATATATATATATATATATATATATATATATATATATTTTCCTCAAAGTTATTGCAATTAGTGCCTTGTAATAGGAATGAAAGAAATCAAGGTTATCTCAACATACAAAGACATTTTGGGATTTAAAATCAAGAAACAGAGTGAGAAGGGTCAGTACATGATTTCCTACTAACAGAAGACTTCAAGGTTGGAGGCCTAGTCTTTCTAAACTGACCTAAGATTGTGGTTTTCACTGGGCCAGGCCAACCAAAAATGAGCCCCAAGATAAGTCTCATCCAAAAGAGGGCTCAGAAGAGTAAAGTCTGCTCAAAGAGATTATCATTTTCTGGATCTCAAAAAGCTATTTCATTTATACTATGTCAAGTGGAAAGTACTAATTTGCTTGGATCCCTAGTTAAAAGGCATAGATATCTAGTATCCATGCAGATCATACAATGCCTCACTTTGGGTAGTATATTTTTCAAATATGAATAATTCTCAATGATTAGTTCCTCAGAATTTATCCCATGCTCCTCCTTTAAGATGGAAACATAAGTACTTTCTCATGTTATCAGTTTTCTGCTCTCTATTGAAAAGGCTTTTGATCTAAATTTCAGCAGAACATGGTAGTCACACACCTGCAGTCCCAGCTATTCAGAAGGATCACCAGTTAGAGGTGAGCCTGGGCAAGAGGTGGGGTGTAGCTCAGCAGAATGTCCCAGGGTTCTTTCTTTAGCATCATAAAACAAAACAATGTTTATTTCATTTTCTTTCATTTTAACTGTATTTCTTCTCATTTGAGACAATATTGTTGCTTAGAATTTCTTCAGAAGACAAGGAAAAATTGCATTGAAACAAATGAGAAATGTTACTTTATGGGTTAGTCACATTTAGTCTGCTACAATAGATCAAAGTCTAGTGTTTTTTTAAATTTGTCAACAGCTCTTTATGTATAATATTGGCCTACTCACCTCATCCCCTGCTACTCAAAATAAAATGCAAAATATAACATTCTCCTTTAACGTATCAAAAAACTCACAAAAGATAAATTATCAGAGTAGAAAGTTATGGAAACAGAGTTAAGAAAAGCACCAGTTGCTTTGGTCTTCTGAGTGGCCTACCTGGATTTCATTGTCACCACCCTCACAGGTGGCAAAGAGCAGAAGATGGGAGAGGCCCGAAGGGAACTACAGTAATGAAATGGACCTTCTTTCAACATGTTCCCCAAAGCAAGCACCTGTATCACATGGTTATAAGTTGGTTCTATGACCTTGCAAGCGAAAAGTAAATCCAGTCTGATTTTTAAATCTTTTAGAGCAGAAATGAAGTAGAATTACTCCCAAACATAGTCTGAACAATTTTTATAACACTGATACCCAATTCAAATGTAAATGTGACTGAAAAGAAAATTAAGAATCCATTTCATTGAGGAAGAGATATAAAATAGAGATATAAAATTCTACAGTATCAGTAAATTAAATTCAGCCTCGTGTAAAAGAAAATAAACTGACATGGAGTTTGAAGGCAGAGAAATTTAACCTTGCAAAAAAATTAAATTTCACTACTTTTCCCAAAAAAGAAGAAATTTAAGACCGTATAAAGAAGAAATTTAAGACTCTGTAATCTGAGGTATTCAGGAGGCTGAAGCAAGAGGATATATAAAGTTTGAGGCCAGCCTTGACAACTTAGGGAGACTCTGTCTCAAAAATTAAAAGTTTTAAAAGGGGCTGAAAATGTAGCTTGGTGGCCGAATGCTTGCCTCCAATGAAAGACTGGTGTTTATCCCAAGACCAGAATTATAACTAGTGAACACTTAATTGGCCCTGGGAAGTTTTGCTTTATAATTGTGCAACTTCAATGAGATTGAGCAGGATACACAATTTATATTCTCTACTGTCCAATTATTTCAAAATGCACTGTTTCTCTGTTCATAAAAAGCATTACTGCTTATGCAGAAACAGAAACATGAATAAATATGAAGCAGAGAAATCTAGAGAAAAGAATCCTAGGCAGTTTTTACCTCTTAGTTCAAAAGCTATGTAAAGTTTAAAGTCCTTAAATGAAAATAACAAAATTTGAGTATTTATCTTGAGCATCAGGTTTGAACAGTTGAAATATTTACTAATAAGCTCTCCATTTGGAAAGACGTTTTAAAGGATTGATGTCATTTTTGTTACTTTCTTAACTTTGTGAGTCAAAAAACTGGAGAGGACCCCAGGAGCCTGGACAGTCAGCTAGGTCAAGGTCCACAAGGTCTAACACCTGCAATAGCCTCACCAGTGCTTTAAGCATCCACACATTTCTATTCCCCTGCACAGATCTCTGAGATGTGAGCCCTGTGCTTGATGATGTCTGTGAGGTTGATACAGTGTGTCAATTTCAGAAGTTTAAAAGTTTAATTGAGAGACTCAGCAGGGAGCAGACTTAGGGTTCTTACTTGGTAAATATTCTCATTTTGTGCAAGAGGAGGGCACAGAGATTTTGTGATTGCTACACCTGCCCTGGTGTCCGGTGGCCTGTGTATAATATAAGAGAGGGAGAGAGACTTTCTCTTCTCCCCTTTGGCTCTGGCTGCTGCCGTGAAGTGTTGCCCCAGTGCCATGCCACCCCACCTTAGAGCCAGCTGATTACGGACTGAAAACTCCACAACAGTGAGCTAAATAAGCCTTTCCTTCCTTCAGCTTGGGTGTCAGGTATTTTGACACAGCAATGCGAAAAAAGTAACCAAGGCGACTTCCAAATGTGAAAATCTGTAGCTCTAATGTTAACTGAAGAGGCTATCAGCAGAGCCATAGTCTACTGGACATGGCATTGTGGCATTTTTTTTATTGTTTTATATTTTCTTGTTTCTTTCTTTTAAGACAAGATCTCCCTACATGTGTGTTGTGCTGACCTTCAACTCATTATGTAGCCCAGACTGGCCTCAAACTGCAGGCAGTCCTCCTGCCTCAGCCTTCTAAGTGCTAGGATAAGAGCTGGGCACCACCACACACAGCCCAGAACAAGTTTTAAAAGGGCCTGAAAAGATACCCGAGAAGTTTGGTTGTTTAATGTTTTACTAAATCAAAAGCAAAGAGGAACATCAGCCACGTTTCCTAGTGCCTCTGTTGCTTAGTGGTTTTGTTTTATTTTGGTTCTGGTTTTTTCTCATGCAGTGGGCGGGAGAAGAGGGCCTGGGGGAAGGGCTCACTTGCTTTCCTGGAACCATACTGCCATCACGAGGAAAGAGTTTCACAAAAGCAAAGGAAAGCTAAAAGTTGGAATTCAAATGTGGAATGGCCTGACTCCATGCCAGGCCTGGCCTTCTGGGAACTCAGGATGAAGGAATCTGAGAGAAGAAGCTGCTCAGTAAGTGGGGTGGGACTTGGGCAGGGCTCTGGTTTCCTGTCACTGTAAGTATGACAGTAGGAGGCCACAGAGAGCCTGTGGAGAGCTCTTGACTTGTCTTCTGTCCCTGTCCACTGGATAATGAGGCAGTAGAGTAGTGCAAGGTACCCTTACACTTTAGGGGCTGAGTTCCTGTCTCAGCAGTATTAAAAGTGCAGAGCATGGGCTGGGTGTGGTGGCACATGTAAATCCCAGCACCCAGGAGGCTGAGGCAAGAAGATCGCACTCAGTTTGAAGTCAGCCTGAGCTACACAGTGATTTCTAGGGCAGCTTGAACTACATAGTGAGATCAAATCTCAAAATAAAAAAGGAAGGAATTTAAAAAGTGCAGGGATGAGGTGGTGAATCTTATTCCAGGTGATGTCTAAGAACAGCTGGTGTGCTTTTTGGGATCTCAGATATTCTGAAGAGCTTGGTGTCCCATTGCCTGGAGTAAGAAGGTCCTGAGAAGTGTGTACCACTGTGTCAAGTCAGTGAATTCCAGAACATCAGTAAGAGACAAGATACATACACAGAAAGCATAGAAGTATTGTTCTGAGCCCAGGAAGGAGGTAACAGACATTGGTGAGCAGTCCTTTTCCGGGGCCCATTATGAAGACACAGGCTCATTGACAGGCATCTGCTGTAATTTCCGCTTTCATCAGGGGACACAAATGGGTCTCTCCCTGAGGAGGAAGAGATTTGAGGCTTGAGACTTAACTGTTCACTCCTGATAGCTGGTGTTGTGTTCTGTGCCTACTTCTTAACCTTTCACTGATGAAGACTGCTTGCAGGCCCCAAACGGTATCCTTCCTCAGGGCATTAAGAACTCTTGCCTCTTTTATGGTCACACTTCTGACCTAAGTTAATCTCCGTGTATGATTCACTCAGAGCAAGGGCTAAGCACATCACTGCAACAAGCACTGGTATTATGATCCTTTTACTTTGAATTCCATTCCATTTGAATGCTTATATGAGTGTGTGTCTGTGTGAGAGAGAGAAACAGGCAGACAGACAGACAGACAGACAGAGGGCGTGGATTTGTTGCTAAAACTTTAGACTTTCATGTAGTGTGGCCATCTTCAAGAGTTCTGAGGGGTTTTTCTTCCTTCTAGCATACTTTTGCCAGGCCTTGTATCCAAGGCCACCTCATATGACATTAGATATCCTTCAGGTGATTGGATTTTATGTAATTTAGAAATTTAACCTAAGACTGTTGTCTTCATTATAAAAAGTGACCCTTTTCATGTCTATGTGTAAATAAAACTATTCATAATTTTTAGAGAAATGAAATCTAACAGTGAAGACTACTTTAAAATATGAGCGGTAGAATCTCATGATTTCAAATGTAAACCTTACTTGTTACTATTTTTCTTTTTTGGTACTAGGGATTGAACTCATGACCTTATGCTTACCAAACACTTGAGCTACTGATCTAAATCTCCAGCCCTAGTTCAAACACTTAGACATGTATAAAGTGAATACTTGATAGCATGACCTTAGAAAAATTACCCCAGACAGAAATGCTATGGATAGTTTTGGTAGAGGACTTGCATTGCACATATTCACTCTTTAAATATCTATGTAAGTCTATGTATTCAGTTTAAGGTAATCATCCCTGTTTTCTTAGACTAACCAAGTAGGATGGGGTTTGATCCTCAAGATCAAACATTTTGCTTTAATCCCCAGTCAATGATGTGAAACGTCTTTCCTGATCCCGATGCAGTCAATGTTATGGAGTCTTTGCAAGGATTTAAGAAGACTACTTGGATATCAAAACTATATGAAATCCAAGCCATCAGAGGATAGGCCCTTTGTTCCTCCTATTGACTTTCATTGATCAATTAATCTAATTGTCACTACTGTTTTGTGTCCTATGGCTGTGTGATCATTTTCATTTTTTTTTTTTTTTGTACTGGGATAGAACCCAGGGCATTTTTAAAAAAAAATTTTCTGACAGGGTCTGCTCAGTTGCCCATGCTGGACTCAAACTCGTGATCCCCTTCCTGGATCTGCCTCCCAGAGTGCTGGGATTTACAGGTGTGCCAATATCACATAAGGCTTGTGATCAGTGTTTTTTCCAGAGTTACTGGACAAAACGTGTGCACTTGTGAATTTTTGTCTTGGCCTGTTGTAACTGAAATAATTTTATATAGTTGATGGTCACCTTTAATCTTCACAAGGCATCTAGAATCATTAAGATATGCTTTGATGTATGTGCATTCCTCCAGGATAAATATCACTTGAGAGTTTTGTTTATTAATTATTGCCTCTTGGCTCTGAACATACTAAATATCCTCTATAATACAGTGAAAAATTTTCCTCTGCATGCTGAACTCTGATGCTATCAAATGGGACCCAAGGACCAGCATGCTAAAGGAGGGTACCAGACTGTCTGCCTCAAGCCCAAGGGACAGGGACAGAAGGTAAAGAGCTAAAGCCGTGCACTTGGCAAACTGCTTCCTCTAGTTTAGCCTATGCTAGGAGGGCCCGTAAGCTCTATCTCTGTGACTTCTCGTGCCTGGGTTTCTTGATAATTGCTTGCTCAGTCCTGGCTGCTCATTGGTTAGCATGTACAGCTATGTCTTACCTTTGTCCAGAGCACCTAGAGAGTCTGGGGGATGAAGCAAAGAGAATCACAGTTGTGGTCAGGGGCTTTTTAACCTTTCCAAAGGTCCAATCTTCAACTTTTGGTTTCTCATACAGGATAAACTTCATCAGCTGACTTCCTCATGATAACATTATTGCTCCAGAAATGTTAAACACCTCTATTCCCAATCCCACCCCCACTTGCTGTCTATTTAGTCTTTAAATGATGATAAAAGACTAACGCATAGGAAACAGATCTGCCATGCATTTGGCTCAGTTCAAAGAAATTTGCTCACATAGCGGTGATTTTGCTTTTTGTTTCCACCCAAGATCAAAAGAGACCTAAATCACCCACCCTCATGAGACATCTCTTTTCAAGAAATACATTTCCTTCAGACAGGTGCTTCACAATTCAGCATCTTTCTACTTAATGCTAGTTCATAAGGATTCCCAATTTATCAGGTTGTCTTCTTCAAGGGCCAAAACTCAGGATTCTACGACTGTATAGAAAAAGAAAATGTTAGAAGTTCTAGGCTTGGAGGAAGCCATCTCAAGTCATCTAGCTTCATGGTCCTTGATAAGACAGGCTTCCTACCTTCCCAGAGAGTCTCTCTCCATTTTCTAGAAGATACTAGTCCTTTAAAAAGCTGGTACTTGGTTTATTTTCTGAGACTCTTACAGTCTTTATAGCTCTTACATGTTCATGACACATCTTACGTGTGTACCAAATGTCCCTCTAAGTCAAATAATAATGTTCAACAATTATTTCTTTCATCTGTCTATCACTTCAATTTGTGAGGATCTAACTGCTGATTCTCTCCATTAGAACAAATACAAGAGTCTGTTTCTAGTGAATATATTATTGGACCTTATTAAGATTTCAACCACATTTTTCTCTTTATTTGAATTTTCATCTTGTTTTCAGCATCTGTTTTTTAGGAAGAATATTGATTGATTGATTGATTGATTGATTGATTGTCTTTTTGAGACAGGGTTTCACTATGCAGTTCAAGCTGGCTTTGAACTCATTTTGTGGCCGAGGATGGCCTTGAACTCTCAATGATTTTCCTGCCTCAGTCTCCTGAGTACTGAGATTACACGCATGTACCAAAACACCTGTCCTTACATTTTATTTTATGTGCTTTTTTTCTATATGTGATGTTGGGGATGGAACCTAGGCCTTACCCAGGCTAGTAAAATGATCTCTCTATGAGCTACATCCCAAGTACTGTTTTATGTACATTTGAAATGACATTTTTTATACATATTTACTTAGTAATATGTTCTTATACATGGTGGCATAATTCTGACAACAAAAAATTGTTTACTTAGTGGGCATGTTTATTTTTCATATTATCTGAGTTTTTAAAAATGCGTGTAGAGTCATATTGAATCTGATTATCTTTAGGCACAATTATTTTACATGGGCTCAGCATTATAAAATTTTCTAAATTTAACTTTTTTCCTACCTACATAGCTTTACTATCCCCTTCTAACAGGTGACTCACGCCATTTCAAAATATCCAGGTCTGGCAAGATTATAAATTAAAAAGTATCAATTTTCCTAATTTTAAAAATTATATAATTTATGTAACTTTATAATATTCATTCATAAACTAGGTTGATATATGTGCCTTATTAGGGATGGAACCCAGGGCCTTGTACTTTCTTGACAAACACTCTATCACTGAGCTATGCCTCTAGTTCTCTTTTATTTCGACATAGGATCTTGTTAAATTGCACATTGGCCTTCAATTTGTGATCTACTGCGATCTCTGAGTGGCTGGAGTTACAGGTATGCCCCATATACATGTAAAGTCAGCCCACTTAGCTTTTTTTGTGGCACTTGGTAAAGAATCCAAGATCTCATGCATATTAGGAAAGCACTCTAGCGCTGAGTTGTATACCCAGTCCTCAACATGTCTTTTTATTTTATTACTTTTCACATATTATATAGAAATCTTTATTCTTCAAGTGTTTCCAGATACTGAAAAAATAATTTCATTTACTATTTATGAAATACCCATGTAATTCCTAAATATGATGAAATCTAATATGACTTAAAAATCTTACTTCATTCATACATAACGAAAACAACAAAGTTTTATGGAAGCAGAGACATACTATCTTCTCTCATTTTCTGTTATACAGTTTCAACAGTTTCCTAACATGCATTTTTGTAGTCAACCCTCCATATAGTCTCATCAGTATTTGAAGACAATATATTAGTCTGCTCAAACTTCTATTGAAAGAATCACAGACCAGGTGGCTTAAGCAATAGATTATTTTCTTCCAGTTCCAGAGGCTGAAAGTCCAAAATCAAAGTGCCTACAAGTTTGGTTTTTGGTGAGGCCTGTGTTCTGGGTTTGCAGATGGCACCTTCTTACTGTGTCCTGAGTGTGGCCTGTCCTCTATGCACATGCAAATGGAGGAAGAGAGAGCAAGCTCTTGGTCTCTCCCTCTTCTTATTGGAAGACAGTCCTGCAAGGTGAGGGGCCCACTGATGATCTCATTTAACCTAAACCCTTCAGCAGTGTGACTGATACAAGTCATATAAACTCTGCTTACCTATTCTTAGAGGGCTACCTGACCATGACCTCTGAAGGCTTGACTACCTCTTTAAAGGGCCTATCTGCAAATACCGTCACACTGGGGTTAGGGCTTCACTAGACAAATTTTGTGGGCATGCAGTTCATTCCATAAGTGATACTAATTTTTCTGTGAAAAATATTATAACTGGTATTAGTAAGCTCTCCTAATGAAAAATGTGCTAAATAAAAATATAAAATGCTTATCTAAGATCAGTTTGCAGATTAAGTTCTTTTAGCATTTTGGTATGCCTAAGTTTTCATCCATTTAAAAAGAATTCTAGTCATCCATTACCATCTGTCATGACCAGTTTGTCTTTGTGCTCACCTCAGTACACTTGTTTGTTTTGAGAAAGGGTCCTGACCATGAACTCACTTTGTAGCCCAGGCTAGCCATGAATTTATGGCAATTCTCTTGCCTCAACCTCCATGGTGCTCAGATCACAGGCCTATGCCACCATGCCTGACTGACTACATACACTTTCTACAAGGCTCAACATGGAGATCCTAACATACATACATACTCCCTGTCAAAAACATACTGTTTTGTATATTTCCTTTTCCAACTATTTCACCACCCTGAATTCACAGGCCTGCAGTTTAGTATTTTATTTGCCTCCACAGGCCAGTGTTCCTCAACTGTTGTCCTATATTATCATTTGGTAGGTAAATCAGATTTCCTATTTCTGTCTACTTTACTATAGAGATCTTAATCAGTTTGGGCTGTCATAACAAAACAGCATGCACTAGGTTTCTCTCAAAGCACAGAAATGTGTTTCTCACCTTTCTAGAGGTTGAAAAGACCTAAAACAAGGTGCTGGGCAATTCAGTTCCTGTTAAGGGCCTGGTTTTCAGATAGGGAAGGTTCTAGTATTCTCACATGATAGATCTCTCTGTCTCTGTCTCTCTCTCTTTTTGAGATAGGGTTTTACTATGTAGTTCAGGTTGGCCTTGAACTCACTTTGTAGCCCTGGCTGGCTTTGAACTTGCAGCAATCCTCCTGAGTGCTGGGATTACAGGTGCATGCCACCATGACCGGCCCCTTTGTCTCTTTATAAGGACAAATATCACATTACAGAGATATCATATTTATCTAAACCTTTCCAAATCCCACCACGTCAGGGCTTAGGACTTCAGCATATGACTTTTTGAGAGCAGGGAGCACAAACCTCAGTTTCTAGTACTAGGCTCTCTCCCCTCACCCCATGCATTGAAACCAATTATTACATGCTGGACAGGCTTAATAGCCTAATCAATATACATGTATCATCTCAGTCTCTGTGAGTCAGAAGTCTGCACAGTTCAGCTAGGTGCTTGACTCAAGGCTACAGGGAAGGTGTTGGCCCAGCCTGGGACTTATCTGAGGCGCAAGGTCCTCTTCTAAACTCACATGGTGGTTGGCAAAATTCATTTCCTGGTAGCTTTACAATTCACAAGGCCAGCAAGACAGAATCTCTGACCTCCAAGAACTTGTAAGGAGCTCTCTTGATTAAATCAGGTCCACGAGGGCACTCTTCCTTTGGATATAAATTCAGTCACCTCATTGAAGGATTTTAATTACATCTGCAAAAGTTCATCACTTTGGCCCGTTGATACTGAATCACATCACACTTACAGGTACAACCTATACCTAACTGTAGGGGATTATATAGGAAAAGGGAGCCAACAGAATCATCTTAGAGCTCTGTCTACAAGTATGTGATGGTTTTTGGTGGTAATGGTGACTGATTAGACACAGGGCTTTCACATGAGCTAAATCTCCTGGCCTTTTCATGTTTTTAAATTTTTTTTGTCTTTTTCATTTTTATCGGTACCAAGGATCGAACTCATGACTGCCTGCTTGCAAGGCAGGTGCTTATGCCGCTGAGCTAAATCCCCAGCCCCAATGTTTTTTAATTTTGAGACAGGGTCTTCGCTAAGTCACTCCTGACTAGCCCAGGCTGGGCTCAACACTTGCCATCCTCCCACCTCAGCCTTCCAGAGTGCAGAGATTACAGTGCAGAGATTACATCACATCCAGCTTTTTAAATTTAAAAACAAATTTCCATGTAGGATCTCACCAAGTCACTAAATTTCCCAGACTGGGCTCGAACTTGTGATCTTCCTGCTTCAGCCTCCCGCAGTGCTGAGACTGCAGGCATGAGACTCCCTGCTCAGCAAGTATCTAGGCTTAAAAAAAAGATTTAAGCTACAACATCTATGAACATATGTTAAAGAGTTAGTTGCACAATCCTTTACAAATATTATGCCATCTTTATCTTTTCTCCCTTCCAAGATTAAAACTTTTTCAACACTCTAAGCTGGTTTTTTTGTTGTTTGGTGACACAAAGGATTGAATCGACAGCCTTCACATTGTATTATATCCTCAGACCTTTTTTAAGTTTTCAGATAGGATCTCACAAAGTCATTAAAATACTAAGGCTGAGCTTCCCAAAGTACCATTATTATAGGAACATAAACCAGACCTGGAAAATTTGCTAGCAAAATCTTTATTAATTTATATCCCTAAATAGAAGCTCCTATTGTCCATTTTAAAGAGTCATTCAATTTATAAGTGTTTCTGTAATTCATAATTTATAGACTTTTGCTTCTGGGGGGTTAGGATTTTATATGTTCTTCCCCCTCACTCCCCTCTATTACTGCTTTACTAGTTTATAATTTTTCTCTTTCATTCTCTAAGTTTTTGTTTGTGTCAATATCCAGTGAATAAAATGCTATGACTTTGTAAACATCATTTTAGATGATTCATGTTTAAATACAAACGTGTATATGTACCTACTCCCCAAAAATGAATATTATGTATCCCAGCTATATATTAATTAAAAATCATTAAATAAAAATTTAAGTTATGTTTCCTTTTCCTTTTCTGTACAACCTTCCCCTGCCCTGTATCTCCTAAAATAATTTATTAGTCATTTCCTATAAGAACCTATATAATGTACTCATAGGTAATTTAAACACACATGTATATAAGTTTTCTAAAATATGTTGAATCTTTTTGTTTTGTACCAAGGATCGAACTCACAGACTTGCGCTGGCCAGGAAGATGCTTTTGCCGCTGATCTAGATCCCCAGTCCAACATCTTGAATCTTATTCATACTATTTTTATCAATTTTTTTTTGTGTCTACCTAGGAATGCAGCTCAGAGTGTTTCACATGCTGAACAAATGTTCTACTATTCCACCCCCAATTTTTATTTTCTTGGCAAAATTTATTTCAGAATTTTCTGTTCTCCAATGTGTCTTGTTTCTGTATGTGGACTTAACTGTCATTCTGACATCCTTTTTATCATCATTCTGGAGATACTCATATCTTCTCTATTATACGTCTAGCTCATGAATCTTATATATTTCTCTTTTTTTGATGTTAGGGAATGGAATCTTCCTGTGATCCTTAATTTTTTTACATCGCAGGCTAAAATAGCTTAGACACTGTATGTATTAAGAATATTTGTTGACAACGGCAGCTTCCTAACCAGTAAATATGATTACCTTTTCATTTATAATAAGCACTTAGGATTCCTGTTTTCTAAATGACCTGCTTAATTCCATTACACATTTGGCATTGGTTTCAATACAACAGAAATTGGGTTTTTTTAACCATAGAAAAGTCAAGTCCAAGCATGCAAAATACTTCTTTTCTTTCATGTGTCTTCCCTCCCTGCTTTTGTGTGTGTTGCTGGGGGTGGAACCCAGGGCCTGTGCATTCTAGGAAGTAGCTCTACCACTGAGCTCTATATATCCCTAGCCCTAAATCATCTCAACTACTGAGGTGAAATGTCTAGAGTGAGGAAAGTAGAAGAATGGGCTCCAGAATGGTTCTCAGTTGGGCAGTGAACCCTAAGTAATTCTTCACTCTTCACCAACTTGGGAGCAAGAAGAATGTTCTGAGTGTTCAGCACCCAAATGGCGGCCATCTTGTCAGACTTACTAACCAGCTTCATCTGAAACTTTTTCTGAAGCATCTGCAAGTGTGAGAATATCTGGACCTCAAGGACTTCATCTTTTCAGAGAACAAGTAAGAGATGAGTTCTCTCTTTCCCCACCAACCTCACTAAGGGAACAGAGATGAGAACAGAATTCAGTCAGGGGACAGGTCTTTATCTTAGCCATTAGAACCGGTTATAAGCCACTATCTTTGCTGTCTCTGGGCTCAGAAAATTTCTTTGTGGACTGTCTTACGTTTCTTGGACCCCATAAATGTGTTTTCACTCCAGGAGGGACTTGGCCTCTCTTGGCTTAGCAGGGTGGCCTCCAGCACTTCTCCATTTGCTCTCCTTGCTCAAGGCAATGGGATCCAGACTTCTGTTACCTCTAGAAACCCCAGTGAGCTCATATGCTGTTTGGAGATATCAGATTGAATTACCCTGTTTTATGTGCTGTGTCACTGTTGCAAGGAGCCATTATCTCATGGGTCAAGGACTAGAGGACGTGGCTTGCCTTATCCTCTGCCAGGAACAGGAGACAAGTGACTGCAGCTTTCCTCAGTTCTCCGAAAGGCTTCCTCAGCCAAAGTCTAACACCACAGCTCCCAGGACCTGGACTTCCTGGCAGCACCTGGCTCCCTCCTGCCTCCCCAGTAGCCAGCTTCTACCTGGACAAAACCTATGTGAGGCCAGCATGGAGCCTTTTCCCAGAGCTCCTGGAATAACTCAGAGAAGCCAGAGAGGGCCAATTCAGGACTAGGGCCTGCTCCACCTTTCTGACCAATGTACCCTAAACAGGAAGTCCTCACAGGAATGAAACAATGAGGCCATAGGACATTTGAAATTACTTCCTCAAGACGGTAGGAGTACTTCATGTATGTCAAAAAGTTCTGTACCTTAGCCCTCTTATGCCCATCTTGACAAAAGAAAGAAAAGGAAGGAAGGAAGGAAGAAAGAAAGAGCCATCAAGACCAAAAAGGGAAAAAAAAGGAGCCAGAAAACATGGCAACCTTGTTTTTGCTCACTGGTTAAAGGCTGATCACACTGTTACCATTTTGCTTTTGGTTTCCATGTGAAACTAAACCAAGACTGAAAACCACCACTATTATAAGGCATATTTTCTTTTTTTAAAGAATTTAGTTTCAGGCAGGCACAGTGGTGTACACCTCTGGTCCCAGTTACTCAGGAGGCTAAAGCAAAGGATGGCTTGGGCCCAACCCGGGCAACACAGAGTGACCATGTTTCCATTAAAAAAAAACCAAAACTATAAAGAGGTTACTCAACAGTTGTATCTTGTGATTTCATTTACCATTGGCACACAGCCCATTTCTATATCAATAAATTGACTTGAACTGCTTCCTGCAACTTCTTTGGGTGTGTAGGTGTTCATGTCAACTTTTATGTTTTAGATAAACCTTAAAACCATTTGCTCATTAGGAACTAAAATTCTGTGCTTGGCAAGGCTTCACAAATAACCAGCCACTAAGTAAAACATGATCAGAAAACCTGTAAAAGTCACTGATAACCTTTTGGATTATGCCCTTGTAATCCTTTCAACAAACAGAATTCTGTATTTATATTCATACACAACAATAAACTTATATTAAATATGAATATTTGTACATTATGATTTGCATAAGAAATTTACATTCCTGCTTCCTAGGAAATGCAACAAAATTATACAAAATTTCAAGCCCTTGTTGTTCGTAAATAAATCATTATGAAAAATGACATTTAGTTTTCCATTTATTATGTTTTATATATAATATATAAAATATACAAATGCTACGTATCATGCACATATACATGCACATTGGTTCCCCTTAATTATAATTTGACTTATAGTAGGTGTGGCTTTACAGAAAGTCTTCTGCACTACCTATATAAATTTTATGTTTCCATTATCAATACATATTTTCCCTAGTTGGAAATCTCTTTATATGTCATTTTAGAAAGTAATTTTAGTTACAAGTAATTACAAAAATAACTTACTTTGTTAGCAACTTGACCTCATTTTGAGAAATAAAAAGTAAAAAAATAAATGGAACCTCAAACAAGAAATAACTTTTAAACTATCTGTCATAAATCCTCATGTTTATATACCTAAAATCCCAGTTAACTACTACCTGAAATGTTCATACATACTTTCCTCATTCATTACAGCTTGAAGTCTTTGGAAATATCATTAACTAATTATTCTTTGGAATATGCAATATTTTGATGTTGCCTCTTATCTTTTAGATCTCTTATATTTAAGCATACTTGTTTACAAAATAGCAAGACGTACTAGACATGTATAAAGAAAGGTAGGAGCTGGGCATGGGTGGCACATGCCTGCAATTCCAGCTGAGGCAGGAGGATTGCTGCAAATGCAAGGCTAACCTGGGCTACACAGTGAGTTCAAGGCCAGCACGAACTGCATGGGACCCTGTTTCAAAAAGCCTAAATAAATAAAAGCAGAGAGGTCAGAAGTAATATATACTGTCATAGTCAAAAACTTCTAAAATGTGGGATTCTCAAATTTTCCTGTTTTCAAGAGAGGAAAAGAAAGTGCTTTAAAGGATATAACTGCATGTATATTTAAGTGTGTAAGACAGATAACCATATTACTAAGTTTTTGTTGGATCATTGAACAGAACTATTTGCAGTCTCACTGTTTGAATGTCCACTTTGTATGCTTTAATTTTGTAACTTGAACAACTATTTTTAAGATGACAATATGTAATCTATTAACTAGTGATTTCTTACTGTTTATTTTTTTTGAAATTCTGTATTGCTTGTACCCTTTTTCTGTTTCGTTTTTTTCCTCTTTAAATAAATTTTTAAAAATTTCCTGTTTTCTGTGATCAGTTAGAGGTATGAATATATTAAAATTAAAATGGTCACCAAATCAAATGTCCTCAACAGCTACTTCTGCACATATTTGTTCTGGATTGGTTCTCAAATTCTAAGTATGTTTTTAGGTTTCGAGGAAGCTCTTAGAATACACAGCTTATCACAAGCAAATGGATATACTACAGCCCAGATCCCACTTTCCTGAGGGAACTGCTACAAGTAGCTTGACGAGTACATTGGTTTAAGTATACAAAAGTGATATACAAATATTCATTAGCGATGATGTTACTTATTTAGATTTAATTACATCTCATCAATATACTTTCCATATTCTTTAGTGCAGTACTAAATATAAACATGTATGCACGTACACATACAAAGTAAATGTCTGCATTTCTTTTCTTTAAATCCATCCTGATTATACTCTATGTGGAGTTTGGTGCCATGAATTCTTGACTCAACTTTGGACAATAGACAATTTTTACTTGCATTAGCTAGTCACAGGAAACATTATCATTTTTTAAGTTAATCTCACAGCATTCCTTTGTGGTTGATCAAACCCTAAACTAAAATCCACCTTAAAAAGAATCACTTAGTGGAGCAAATATATAGCAGTTAGGAAATGGTAGGTGTGCCAGGAGAGGTGGTACACACCTATACTCCCAGCACTCAGGAGGCTGAGGCAGGAGGATCGCTATGAGGTCAGCCTGAACTACAGTGAGATCTTGTCTCAAAAGAAAAAAAAAAATAAAAAGGTATACATTAAGTCAAGACACTCAGTGGATGGGCCTAGGGATGTAGTTTAGAAGTGGAGCACTTGCCTAGCATATGTGAAGCCCTGGGTTCCATCCTCAGCACTGCCAAAAATATAAAAGGAAAAAAGAGGTTCAGCAGAGTATTCCTTCTGTGTATGACCTATTGTACTTTGCTCTATTTATCAGACAATTGTACACCTACTGGTACACATTACAGGTTGTCAGGATTTACTAGTATAAATTTTGAGTTATATGATACATGCGGACTATCTTTTCAGCTTGAGTTGTTTCCTTCTATTACAGTTTTTTTCAGGTCTTATATCACAAACATCATCACATGTCATTAAATATGTTTCAGAAAGATGAATGTTCTGTTAAGCAGAATTTGTAAACAGAATTGTTAGCACAAAAATTAAAAGCAAGGCCTTTAAACTTTGCATATAGAGAGAATTTGCAAATTTTAAGGGAAAATACATCGTGTAATATGTTAGCTTTTCAGTTATATATTGTGATAGTGTTGCTTTTACAATTTTGCAAAAATTTCATTTGATCCCCGGTACCACACAAAAAAAATCAAAAGTAACATTTTCTCATTTTCAAGCAGCTTTACGAGTACATTGGTTTAAACTAGAATAAGTTAAAAATTTAAGGCAAGCCATTGGATGTGTCACTCCAGATAGTCACAGTTAATTGCTTGATTTCAAGGTTTCTGTGTTCTTCCTTTGTACCTATTCAATTTTCTGAATCCATATTTACATGTTCAACTTGAATTAATCCTGTATATAAAAAGCAGAATGACTTTGTTATTTTTTCTTGTATTTACAACTAGAACATCTGATTCCATCTCTTTGTTTTTCCATCTCTGAGGTGAAAGTGTAGACACCTCCCCTGATGAAGACATGGAGAATAGATTTCAATCTTCCCAAAGCTTTAAGAAGACTACCTGCTATGGCTGAGCCTGGAAAAGGGCTCTTTGCCCTTTCTCACCACCAGTCTTGCAAAAGAACCCTCTGATCTTCTTTCCTGTGGAGTGTGGTTTTGAGATCACTAAGAAGCAGGTAGAGAGGACTCATCTTCCTTAGGGGAAATCCAGGACATGAAAACCCCTTTTCTTTCCCCTATGGAAGCTGAGATAAGAGTTGGTCCCACTAAATGAGCATGTGCGTTCACACTGGGCTCTAGGAAAAGGCTGCCCAGCCAATTAGCTGTTATTTCAGAAAACACCTCCATGCTTTCTCCATCCTTGGCCTCTTTTTACTGTGTGGCTCTCTATTCGTACTGACGTTCTAGAATTCACTGGCTTGGCATACTGGGACACCCTCATTCTCATCAGGCCCTCCTTGCTCTAAGCAATGAGGTACTAGACTTCTGCATTAATTTGACACCTTCACAAAGCATATTGGCTACTTTAGAGGCCACTTGGAATAAGATTTCCTTCCTCCATCCTGACCCTCTACCACTGCTGACACCTCGTGCCAGCTTACTGTCACACTGTCCAAAAGGCAGGTATAGGAGTCACATGCTCAGATCCCCCCCAAACAGGATGTGAGTGGCCTGTCCTACCTCTGTCTTCACTGGGTACACATCTGAGCCCTCCTACTTCGTGTACTTGGCTGCCCGGCAGCTGTTCATTCAGGCTGGCCTGCTCCCACCCTCCCGTCAGCTTCCTCCCTAGGATCCTGCCTTTGCCCAGACCTCCTGACCTAAGTGAAGAAAACCTGCTTAGTGTCACAGCCCACTCATCCTCACCAAAGACCCAACCTGTTTCAACCAGTAGCCCTCGCAGAATTCTCATTTGTGACTTGGGGTTTTGTCAGCCTACTGCCTCTTGATGGCAGTATTGCTCTGGAAAAGTGGCTTAGTCCTTGCTTCCCAGACCCTTCTGTTCCCGCCCATTCAATCTGAAAAAAAGCATCCTTGAGACAAAGAAGCCAGGAAACAAATCAGCCTATTTGCACTATTTGGGGGAAATCTATTTGCTGGAATCACTTTTTGCTTCTGGTTTCCCTCTAAAATCAAACTGGGGCTTATACTACCCAGTTAGGCCTTGTTAGTTATGGATTTCATGAATTCCATTTCTACTCTACCCATGCTTTGCAGATCTGCTCTTCTTTCACCCTTGATACCCAGCATTTTCCCACTCTTTTTGCTTCAGTAAGGATTTCTCAGCAATTAGGGCTGAGAAAGTGACCAAAACAAGGAAATAAGGGCCTGGGAAAGTGCAAATCTAAGCACCAGGTCAGGTGACTTGTCCCCCTTCCAGATTCCCTGGGAGTCCTCCATTTTCTGACCTGGACCTTTGTCCTTAGTCTTGGCCACAACCACAAGAGGAAATCCAATCAGCTCTCACATCCAAATTCCACACTATGTTCCTTTTGGGAGTGACAAAAATACTCAAAGTTGTATGAATTTTAGTGAAAAGAGGCATGAGTTCGCCTCATAGTTTTATCATTTAACACTGGCACGAAAGCATGTTCCTTTCCTTTATGGCTTCCCATGGTTTTGTTGCATTTGTGGGTAACACTCATTCATTAAGTTTTTGGAGACAGTCTTACAGTGTTGTCTTAGTGCTTACAAAGAGCTCAGATAATTACCATATGTTGATGATAAGTAAAAGCACTGTCATTAAATCTGGCATTGAGCAATAATAACCTTTGGCATATTTACTCTCTCTCTCTCTCTCTCTCTCTCTCTCTCTCTCTCTCTTGCTCTCTCTCTCTCTCTCTCTCTATATATATATATATATATATACACACACACACACACACACATATATAGTTACAGTGAGGCACCACAATAAACTCACAATTAAATTGGATTTATATACGCAACACATTTTTAAGTCCAGTATTTTTCATTTCTGATACCTGAGTAGATTGCAATTATCCTGAAACATTTGCAAAACCTGGATTTTGAACAATAAAACATGCCCAAAGAGCTTCTTGGTAGACCCATTCATTAAATATTGGATTCTTAATGTTTTTCAGTGTATATGCAGGACACAAAATACCTATAATCCTACTATTAAATAAACTTAATATTGAGGCCTGCCTTATCCAAACATTGCTGTGGTGACATATACAGTACATGTGTCTCCTAATAATGAAACAGGCACTGCAAACTTACACTAGGTCTTTTTAAAAACCATGCTTTTAGAATTTAAACTAAATTTTTATTTAAAAACATGTTTTAAACTATGGAGCAAATGGAAGTAAAAAAATAAAGATGAAATTGTTCTCTTCAAAATTGTTAAGAGTAGATTTCAAGGGTTCTTTCCATATATGCAAAATATATTAACCTCATTATCAGGGGATAGATATGTTAATTAGCCTGACTGTGCTGATCACAATGTAAGCAAGTATCAAAACATGTTGTTTCACACCCTAAATATATCCAAGTTTCATTTGTCAATTTTAGTTTAATATTGCTGGAAATATATATTGGTCTAAAAATTAAATAATCACCCTACCTGCTCAAATATCTGTTCAAGATTATCAAAGAGCAAACTTTAGCAAATGCTTTGGTCGTAAAGGTAGCTTAAAAATTTGGTACTTCTCAAATTCAGTCACTTAGATGTACATCCCATGAAAACTTTGAGACGGCTGTACTCACCCCACCTGCATATGGCTCTAATCTTTCATTAATTTCTCTTTACATAAATACAAATAGAGACACATATGCACTGAGAATTGCAACTTGAACGGCATACTCACACTAGGTATAACATTGAATAGTATTGTAAAATATTGTAACTTCAAAGTTTTCACATAAATCATCGGATATAGCCATTTATATACGTTTTCCTCTCTTTAAACATAATTGCGCTGCTACTGAGAATAGTTTTGTACAGTCTTCAGCACTAACATGCAATTTGCACTCTTGCATCCTAGCATATAGATATATATCAATGCTTGAAAATTTTTTGTATTTTACTCTAGAAAAACTCTCTATTTTTAGGAAATTATAACAGTTTACCTCCTGGTGAGAAAGCATTGAAATTTTGCGAATAAAATAGAAAATAAGAGGCACCTCAATCACAGTGAGAAATGACCCAAATAGTCTTGCCTCACATCTTCTTTTGCACAAGTGATATGTACTTTAAAGCAATAATATACCCTTGTACTTAAAGTCTTACACCAAGTTTTCCTCACCTGTAGCTGTAATGCTTTTTAAATATTATTTTTTGGGATACAGAAATGTTTTTAAAATTTTGCCTGTTTTTGCATTTCTAGAAACAATACACTTCTTTACAATGTACCTGCTACAACAGCCATGTATGAAGTGAAGCAAGGTCACAGGTAATGCCGTCTCCAGCAGACAAAGACTTTTTATGTTGGTGCATCTTCAGTCCTCTTCACTCGTTTTTGGTCTCCTCTGTTTGTGCGTGGTCTGCTCTCTTAGCAGAAATGCTAGCCCTTCTTGGCTTGGATGGCTTTGACTTCTCTTCAGAGCTGGCCCAACTCCAAGCAATCTGAGTGCACCTGGGACTTCCAGCAAGCATATGGCTGGAAGCCATGAGGTATTGTCCTGCCCTTTGCCCTCTGGCTCTAAAAGGGCCGGGGACCCAGAGCTTGTGGATCCCACGTGTCAACCTTCCTCTGGCTATGAGAAACTGTACTTTGTATGCTAGTGGCTTCCTCTAGTCCCGCCCTCTCTCAGAGATACTAAGACTCCACCCCCGACTTCCTGTGTCTGGATTTCCCAGCGATTGCAGACTTACTCTTTCTTCTCCACTGGCCAGCTCAGCTAGTAGGATGTTTCCTGAGGCAGACTAAGAAAACTGATATCTAACTGAAGCTGGGTCTGCTCCACGTGCCTACAGAATGCATTATTCCAAAGATCTTTCTTCTCAGGAAGCCTTAGGGCTTTTTTCCAGAAATGTCCTCATGGTGGCAGTGTCGGCCCACGAGTTGTGTAGAACACTGTCCTGAGTCCTCTTTTCCCGCCCTGGCTAAGGTGGAAAAAAAAATAGTGACCCACAGACAAAGGCACCAAGAAATATGGCTTCCTTGCTGCTAGGCGAGTTTGAAGAAACCTGTTCCCACTGTTGTGCTTTTGCTTTCGGTTTCCATCTAAAATCAAATTGAGGCCTAAACCTACTCTCATCAGGAGTTTTTTCAGTTGGAGAATTCAGTTTCCACCTACCCAGTCTTCTCAATTCTACGTTTTCTTCAGTCAGCACTGCATCTCTAACATTTTCTATTGGGACTAAATTGTCTCCAAGTATCCCTAGGCAAGCCTCAGGGGTCCAGGCCTAGTGCAAAAAGAAAGTAGTTACACCTAAAGGTTGGAAGACCACAAATCTTGGCACTAACATGTATATATATATATATTTTTTTTTTTTTTAAAGGAAAAAGAGAACAGTATTTCATAACAGAATGATAGAATAACAGTAGTTAATACATTGTGTGTTGCTATCTTTAAAGCAGTGACTCAGAGTACAAATTTTGGGCATAAAAAAATTCTCCAATCGACGTTAGCATAAACCTTCCTTTTCAATGCACTGAGACACTAGTCATATCATTAACTTGAATTTTTTTCCTTTTCCCTTCCTTTCTTTCCTTTTTCCCCACCTTAGTTCTTTTTTTTTTCTTTTGAACAATTTCGTTCCATTTCACAGTAACTGTTGTACATTTTAGATCTTCTTTACTCTTTCAGTTTTCTCATACTAGGGTGAGGATTTTTACACATGTGAGTCTGATTAATTTCACTTATGAATAAGAAAACTGAAATCTAACTTACCTATAAAAATAGGTAAGTTGCATCTACTTACCTATAAAAATAGATTTAGAAAAACATTAGACAAATTCCAATAACTATTCATGATTTTAAAAAACCCGCAGAAAATTGAAATAGAGGTTCTTTATTCAATCTGATAAAAACGATCTATGATAAATCAACAGCCAGCATCATACTAATGGTCAAAAACTGAAAGCTTTCACTCTAAAATCAGGAACAAGACAAGGATGTCCACTATTACAGCTCCTTTTTTTTTCTTTTTCCTTTTTATTGGTACCAGGGATCAAACTCACGACTGCCTGCTTTCAAGGCAGGCACTTATGCCGCTGAGCTAAACCCCCAGTCCCCTACAGCTCCTTTTTAATATAGCTCTGGAAACATGTACCTTTTGATCTGACTTGCTTCCCAGGTTCATTTGGAGTCGACTCAATTTTCTGACCTCAGCATTAGGCCAGAATGTCGAGGGAAAAGTTGCTATTTGTCTGGAACTCTAAAGTAGGTGTCTAGGTAGTTCATAGGACTACAGTGCCGTGTGGAATGATACACATACTCAAATATGGATAAGTCCTAGGTAAAGAAAACTGATTTAGTGTCACAGTTTCATGATCTAAGATTGGAAAACAGGAACAGGAACCTTGCCATGTTACTAATGTTGGAATTAAGTGGCTTTCTATGACTTTATTGTGTATGTGCATGTGTCATAAGGGTCAGTCTTACATCATTTTTCATAACTAAGACATGCTATTTACAAAGAGTTCCAAAAATCAAACTGAAGCAAGGAAATAACGAGAGACCTGGGAAGAATGAACCACAGGCACTCTGTGCTGGCATGCTTGGGCTTAGGCCTGTTTTCTAAAGTTTGGGTGGCATTTTACTAACCTAACAAGAGGCTCCCAACAGTAAAATTCTGTTTGTTTAATTATTTATTTATAAGAACTTTCATAAAATTTCTGAACGTATATTCATATACATATGAATACATATTAATGTGTATGTTTGTTTCTCTTAAAACATAATTGCATGGATACTTAAGGTAATTTTGTACAAAACCTTCATCATCATTATACAATTTCCATGTTCCCACACATATGAATTTGAAAAAATTGAAATGTCTTTATTTTACACAAAAGTCTCTTATCATTGAAGAGATTTAAAATAATACTTGCTGAAGGCAAACTCTTCAATTTTTGAGAAATCATAAAACCATAAATTAATGGTAGTTCAATCTCCAATGCCAACAATAATAACTTTAAAAATGCTTTTATCTATTAGTTATATAGATATAAAATATATTGTTAAAATAATTTTCAAATTCTTTTGTACATTAAGTGTTCAAATGCATTTTCTTTTTTTATTTAAAGAGAGGAAAAAAAAGAAAGGACATAAAAAAACAATGCAGTAAAAGGGGACAAATAATACAGTATTTCTAGAAAAAAAATATATACAGTACGAAATCACCAGTTAACAGGCTACACATTATCTTCCCAGAAACAGTTGTCCATATCACTAAATTAAAGCATATAAAGTGAACATTCATGCAGTGGAATTGGAGACAGTTCCGTTCAATGATCCAACAAAAGCTCAGTCACATGGTTTTCCATCCTACACTCTCGAACATACCTGTGGTTATATCCATTAGTCCACCTTACTTTCCTCTCTTTTTTACAGTAACAATTAGACTTTTAGGGTTTTATTACTCTCACGGTTCTTAGTACTTTTTTGAAGAGAATAAAAACAAACGTGACTAAGTAAAACAGAGTCGGTTAGAACAGAAGGGTGGGCATAGCACGTGATGCAAAAATAGAATACCAGGTGATCAAAAGTGGTTATCATTGTGCAATGCATTTTCTATACTCGCTGTAGATAGAATACTTTTTAATTTCATAATATATTTGAAACACTAGTTTTAAAAGAGCTCTTATGTTTGGAGTTTCTCAAAATCAGATATTCTTATTAACAATATTCACAGATATAACACCCATAGATAAAGTAATACAGTGAAATCACAAGCAATGCAGCTCAATTAGACAAGGACTTCTAATACACAGTTGGATTTTTTCCCTCTTGTTGGATATGCTCAGGAATATAGATTCTTTAGGCTTCTCTCAAGTGGACAACACGGTAAGTTTTTGCCAGAAATTACATTTGCACATATTTGTTCTGGATTTGTTATTGAATCAAAAATATAATCTTTGCATTATGAAAAATATTGCAGGATGTACAAATCTATGGCAATAACATGGAAACACTTTATTGCAAAGGAATTTATCCCATGGGAACCACTATTGGCACTTAATGGGTACATGTGTTCAAAGAGTGTAAACAAGATGTACAACTATTCATGAGAACTGGCCCTTTAAAACTAAATAAATATAGCTTCAACTAAATAAATATAACTTCAAATCGATAAACTCCCTTATTTGCATATAAAGTGCTTGAAGCACACAGACATTCAGCCATAGATAGACACATCATTATTTATTTTCTTCATTTACATCCTGGTTAATATGTAGGTGAAGTTTTCTGCCATTGATTTTGCTCAGCTTTGATGATGGATACTTTCCAATAGCATAGCTGCTCATGATAGCAGTTTATTTTTATTAATAAATTTATTTTTAGGGTACAGTCTCCTTTTGTATTTTAGGCTAGTCTTGAACTCAGTTTGTAGCCCAGGTTGGCCTCAAATTCACTGAGATCCTCTTGCCTCAGCTTCCTGAGTGTTGGAATTGCAGGCATGTGGCATCAGATCTGGCTAGCAGTTTATTTCTAAGTCTCATAAAACATCTTCGTTCATCACTTCTTAAGGATAACACATACATAGGGAAAAGAAATGATAAACCAAATAATTGAAATGTATGACAGAGAAGATAGTTTCCATTATGTTAAGCTAATTGATATTCTAACCTATTTTATTATGCCTTTCCTCTATGGCATGACATTTATGTGTGTGCACACATGGGTATGTTTCTGTGCTTGTGAACAGAGGTTTTGGGCATGAATTCCAAGTAACAATCCACATATGAGATTTTCTTATTTGAAATTTTCAGTTTTTCATCAATCTTATATAGAAAAGCATGTGGTGGATTGACAACCAATGGTCAACTTGTGACATCCAGCTGAACTGAATTAGCATGGTTCTGGGTGTGGATGGCCCACCTGAGAATTATTGCCAACAACATAAAAAGGAGAACTGGAGAGGAAGAAGTGGCATTGTTGGGTTTACTGTTGCTCTTGGAGGTTCTCCTGGAGGAGCTTGTAGAGCTTCTTTCCTGATATGAACTTGGCTATCCTCACTGTAAGAGGAGCTCAGGACCTTGTCACTGAGAATGACTGTGATTCACTTTGGGGGAGCTCTGGTCCTTACTCTGAGCATTGCTTTCCGGCTCTGGAGCAGAAGATGGTGTGCTATTCAGTCTCCAGGAGAAGCTTGTCACATTGGCTTCCTAATATGCGCTCGGCTGTTCTCATCATTGGAGGACCTTGGGACCTCTTTGTCACTGAGGATAGCTGTGGCATTTTTGGGACAGCTCTGGTCCTTGCTTTGCGCATCACTTCTTGGTTCCAGTGCAGATCCCTCAGTCTGATGACACACACTTTCTAGTTTCCACCTCTGAACTTTGAACTCTCCAGCACAGCTTCATGAGACAAACTTGCAGGAGACACTGTCATAGGCTCAAGATCTTCAGCTGAACTTATTCAGGACATTGCTATGGGATCCAAGCCCTCAGCTGGATTCTTTGGGTCTTTAGTATGTGGACAGATTTCCTGCACATTTTTGTATTTGACTCTTTAGGTGACTACTATAAACTAATACTATACATTATGAGTCCTATATTAAATTGTTTTCCTCACAAACCCTGACTACAACAGGCCACTTTAAATATAGTTTAGGAAAAAAAGAATTTTGTGTAATATAGTATTACCTCTGTTGACATACATATTTGTTTGTGAACAGTTTGGTTAA